GTCTGACCTCTGCGACCATGAAATGGAGGAGGATATTGCCGATACACTACTGACATGTGAAGAGTTGAATGTGCAAGACATGATTCCACAGCAAAAATTCTGATGAAATGGCAGCGAGAAGGCAATCGCGGAGCTAGGGCTTTCCAACACGCCGAGAAATAGCATGAAGGGATTTGTCGGATTCATATGCAACACGACGTACGCATAAGCGATCAACTTCTCCGTAGCTTCAGAAATTCTCAAAGAGAGTTAGATTACACCACAGTTAGAGCATGTTCGCCGGTGTTGGAATATACCGCATTTGGCAAAATGAAGAACCCGAAGGGTTATCCTAGCCATTCGACGTCTACTGCGCATACTAATAACTAAAGATTCGAACCGATGGAAGTGAAATTTGAGGAGGAGATAATATTTTGTTGAGTGCAACGGTTTACAACGTTAGTTCTGTTTCGTCTAAATATACCAACTATGAATACAACCTTCTGTAATTGGCAGCCGTTATGTATTGCATAACATTGTTGATCCGTAAACAAGTGGAGTATAGTAAATCTTGCCCCAACGTAGACATGCTGGATAGAGGCGGGCGGTAATATTAGCTTGGTGTGTGGGCGGTTTAAGATAGATGCGTTCCTCCTCCATTTAAACCTTGTATGAAACTAATGTTATTTGCAGTATTGTTGTATTGGCCAATTGTAGAACATTTCTTTGTAGAGCGTCGGTATGGGGCAATCAACCTGCCTGCAGAGGGATATCTATTATGCTAACTGTATGAGCCTCTTGTGGCTGTCGCTGCGTTGTACAGATGGACTTTCCTGGAAAAAAACGAATTGCTATTAGGTATATATATATATATATAGATGAAGCTGATGGATGTATCAGAGCGGAAAATACAATTAGCATTCAGCCTAAGTGGGTGATAACTCTCCTTAGATGAGTCGGGCTAGCAAATACAGTGGTTCCCCTCAGGGCTTTTCGCAGCATCGAGCAGTACGCCCGCGTTTTTTCTTTCACCGTCTAATGGAAGTACATTTTACTGTTCATCCTTTTACCTCGCTACAAGTTGTATTGAAGCACCTCTCCCGTGTCCCCGTAATGATAGGGATGGATTATCACCGCCGACGGCTTAAACGGCATGGCTGCGAGTGGGCTGTTGCTGAAGGCGTGGTCACCGATGATTGACGGCTGTGCTTACGTGGTGGGGGTTCATTGTGACGGAACATGGGTCGATGTTGGGAGTGTCATCCTCTACCGGAACTTACTAACACGAGTTACAACCCTTTGAGTGTAAGGGGATTGCCTTTTGGAGCCCGCTGAATGACACTCACCCGACTAGTGAGGCAGCAGTGGTCTGACCGACCACCAAGTCGAAAACACAACACCTATCGGTCAGGTCGCCCCCAGAAAGCGAATGACTGTCGACCAGATCGCAACCTGTGTCAGGTTGCGATGGAAAAACCGTTAGTATCGGTAGTTGCGTCAGGCCGTAGTTCACATGTTCGGCGTTAAAGCAAGAGAAAGCTCAGCCGCGAAAGACTAGGGTTAACGGATGAAGGCGTGACCGATAAAGGAGACCAGACGTGTATTGTATGGGAAAGACGAGACCGTACGGAATCCCCAGAGCCAGACCGGAAAAATGGGACGTAGACAAGAACATCGAGACCGATGGGGGATAGTAGCGACGATGCGCAGCATAGAATAGGCATCATTGAGTGAAAAAATGTTACGGGTGTAACGAGTAGCACACTAAAGTGGGTTTAACATCGTTAAACTACATCGGTTATCGTTTGTTTTTTGTTTTATCTGTTTAAAATAGCTTTTATGAGTTTTTTGTTAAGTAGTTCCACCTTGTGTTGCGCTGTGCATTTTATCTTGATGATCAATTAATTCTTAATTCAATTTAAAGAGTAGTTTCCTCCTAATTTTGACCAGTTTGACCTCGTTTGAACAACTTGTTCGGTAACCGTTCATAGATCTTGAAAATCGTATATTCGAAAACAATTTTTCTTTTTTGTGGGAAAAATGCGAACAAAATTAAATTTTGAGTTTTTCTACATATAGTTGAAAAGTCGTCATATATAATAAGGTCAAAGTAAAGTTGAAAAATTAGTGGTACAAAAAATTGGACAGGGAATGCTTTCAATCACCGTAAACTAATAAGTTTGCATTTAAGCTAAAGTTTGAGTCATGTAAAGTCCTAATGATAGAGTTCCGTTATGTACGAAGCCAGAAGTTAACTTTAGAATTGCAGCTATAGTGAAATTTTTTTAGTTCACATTGATCATTTCTAAGCCAAATCTGCTAATTTCCTCGGATAACCGCATAAATTCTACATGGAAATTGATCCATTGCAAGGCAGGCGAGCACGAAGCAATCTAGTAAAAAAATGAGCTATTTATGCAAACTGAGCAACGAAGTTAGTAACACATTTTGATAAAAAGACAACAGGATAATGAGATTATTGCAGTAGGATGATTTAGAAGGATGTATAAGTTAACTTGCATCCAACTAACCGCTAGAACAGGGCAATAGGATACCCACATTGGGGCAACGGCTTTCTATAGTTTGTGTGCAGTAGAGTTGTAGTTTATTAGATTGTGTGTAATAGTAGTCAAATTTATTAGCTTCTGGAAAATAATTGTAGTAAGGACACGTTGATGCGAAAACTTTACCACTGTAAAGGGGTAACATGGCAGATAAAGTAAGTTATAGCATACGTTATCCAATACCTTCCCTATCCAATATCTTTTAAAACCTAATGACGTCGCAAAATTGATTTTCTGATTGATTAGTAGAGGCGACAAAGCGTTTTCTTTCTTTAATAAATTTAAATACTATTAGGTGTGCGAAAGAAATTTTAATAATAATAATAAATATTTACGTGATTTTTACTCAAAGTAAATGATCAAAAACGACAAAACTTTAAGACATTTTTGCAACTCTGTTGACTCGAGCATGGTTTTTAAATTAACAGTTTAAGACGCTACGGCTACCTTGTGTTCAAAGGCAGATCATTACCTGAATTATTTACTCCAGTTGTCGTAACATTTACCTTAAGCTACTTTTTCACATTTTAAATTAAGATTACCTATAGATAATAACACATTTTAATTATCCTTCTTTTCTAGGAATTTATTACTAATATATTCGCGCTAGTTGATAATCTCGGACAATGATATCGTATTTAATAATGAATTAAATAGATATCAACAGCCGTCTGCCTAACACACGACACGGAGTACAATCGCTGATTCCGCTGAACACTTCGACGCGCTACTAACACTGTGACATTGCCGAGTATAAGCATCTTAATAGGTTTATATATTTTTCTCCAACTCTTCACTTTTTGGCAATAATAAATTCAGAAATAATCATAATAAGAACATACAAAACAACAACAATATTACGAATACCATTACAATTATTTCTACATACCAGTATTTGTCGTTATCGTGTATATATATCGTCACTGTTGTTGTTAGTATTATTATCAATTATTAACTACGTCATAATTATCATTGTAGTTGTTTTCCGTGTATCTTTCCACTATTACTCTCACAAGGGCACAGGTGCAAAAATGTTCATGAAAAGGATATATGTGCGAGGATACGGCACCACATTTTGTTCACATATCTATGTGCAAAAAACGTTATTGACAACAACAGTGCTCGTCAAAACAATGCTAATCTAAGTCACGACGACAATAATAGTAATAATACAAATCATAGCAAAAGCTCGATATGTCGACCATTACGTAATATGGCCGTACATTACAACAGCCATTTAATGAATAAAATTAATGCTTCATTGTATAATTATTATATTATCGTTAGCGTGTTATAGTCTTGTATTTATTGTTGCTTTGTCAACCGAGCTAAACCACTGTCATCGTATAGCGTGCCGCTTTTACCCATGCTATTATAATTAATGTTATACGTTTTATGAGCATTGTCAAATATCGGGGGAAAGGGACGGAAAAAATGCGAACAAATGTAGAGTGACGCCATCTTCTTTTTATCCGGTCACTCTCTGTTACAATCGGCGATCTTCTGTTCATTCTGTATATAGAGAAACACACGTATTATATTAAATATCACATTCATACATCGGTACACACAATCGGCTGTCAATTACAATTAAAATGACAATAACTGTTGTCTGTTAGTCCAAGGTCGAGCAAGGCGTTCAATCAGTTCCTCTACATCGCTTTCTCGACTCCTATATCCGTTCTCTCACGTTGTTCTCAGTGTTTCGATTGCTCAAGTTAACAGAATTGGATACATAACATATTAATAATCTACCTCTTTGCCTTATAGCTGTAATATTTTTATACTGCACCGTTATTACTACTTATATCCTTTTTACCTCACCCCAACATTTAGAGTATACTGTAAAATGTCATATATGTCTTCCCGTTGGCTGCTATATCAATCTATTATAGTATTAAAAATGTTCACAGCATTTGTGTGTAATACCCCCATTAATTATTGGTGATGAATGTTATTATAACACAATGAGCAGAAAATGATTATGTTTTCACAAACAGTGTCCAATTTCTCCTTTTTTTTTGTATTTCACTTCGTGCTGAATGAATACTTAAGGGGACTTTCTCCCTTTTTAGCACTTTAGCAATGTAATGAGGTGGGACACTATATATATATATATATATATATATATATATATATAAAACAACAGCAATACTACCATTAACACGACTTAAATCTCTTTGATCCTTTATCGTTTTCTACTTCAGTACATTCTTTCTATACTTCTAACGCATTTTATACCTCCTTAAACCCAAGTGCTCCAAAGTGCGTGAAAATCCTCCCTTTACAACAATAATACAAGAAACCCACAAGGCAAAAATGTCGCTATACAAATACAGA